CTCTTGGCACCGCGCGGCCGTCTGGATTGGCCGCATCCTGTTTGTTTGTGGTGAGCCGTCGCATGATCAAGGATTGAGACGGAAAACGATTTGCCTCCTTGGCTGGCGTGGGCTTGCTCTTCGGAAGGGCGAGTGTGCTGTGCGCCTGCAGTTAAGGGCTGTGTGCAGGGCCTTGTGCCCTACCCCTTTGTCACAACATATGCACCGCACGCTGGAATTATTTGACAACAACAACGTGTCCCATGCCTAGGTCTTGGACGAGATCGGCATCGACATCGGCGCCACGCTGGCCGGCACATCTGCACCCACGAGGCGCGTGGCCGCCCCGGCCGGCGCCGCTGCCGCCAAGGAGGGGTCGTTGGAGGACGACATGCTCGCGCGGCTGGCTCAGCTCAAGTCGTGAAGACACGGCGTGCTCGCGGAGACGGGGATGCGTTACGCTGGGGCGGGCTGGTGGGTGCAGCCGCGGCCCGGCAGCCAACCGGCTGTGATGCGGCAGTGCTGTGGGCTGGCAGTCCGGAGCGCACCCAACGCCGCGCGGAGCGCCCAGCCGCCGTCACGCCCCACCCCTTATTACTTGTCGTGGATGTGTGAATGGGGTGTTTCCCCATATCTAGGCAATGCAATGGTGCGCGTTTGCCAACCGAATTGTCCATGTGCCCCCCCTGGTGGCTGTAAAATCACATGCTTCTGTACCACCTGGCAAAATTTGGTTGCGCGCACTCAAAAATAGTGCTGTGGCGTACAGTAGTTTGACTGCTTGGAGCCGGTCTTGAGTAGAAACACGAATGTTTCCGCCACAGCTCAACGAACAGTGGTGCGATGTTCGGGCGCGCGCTTCGCCGCGCCGATGATTCAGCACGCCAACACAAGACCATGCTGGACGCGTCCACACCCATGAATATGTGTGGTGGCCATCAATTCGCATATTACATGCCGCAGGCTGCGTCGCTGGCTGGCTGGGTCCGAGGTTCACACCGACGGGCAAGCTCCTGGAAACGACAAGGAAATGGCCGGGGACCCCTCATGCCTCGCAGTGTCTCAAACCCATTCTGTAGGATTGTGTTCTAGGTCTTTTCTCCGCAACACCACCACGGACAGCACTCGCCCCGTCCTGACTTGCAGAGTACGACGCCCTCACGCGCTATCTGGCAGCGAAAGGTTCTCTGATTCGACATCATGCCTTTTTCCATGGACCAGGTGGGCCCCAGACACGGGCCCTGCTTCTGCAGCGCACCCCGCTTGTCCTCCTACGCGGGGGCCCGCAGCCGTCCTATTTGTTAACTATCACTGTCCGTGCGCTCTTTTGGATGGTTTTGCAGTGTTTCCGCGGGGATTCGGACTGCCTGGTGGACCGCCTCGTCGCCGCGAGCATGCTGCCCCAAGTGGCTCCTGGCGCCGTCAAGGAGCGCGAGCTGCAGGCGTGGCGGCCTGATGATGATAATGGCGACCACAGGTCCATCCTCAACGAGCCGCTCGAGGCCAGGTCCGCCGGGCTGCGCATGATGGGATCACGAAGGACACTTGTGTGCGTCCGGCTGAAGTAGCGCATTCATATTGTATACGGTGTATGCTCTGACGGCATTGTCCAGGGCCCGTTGCTCACGTGCTGTGTGCGACGGCGTTTCTGGCGGCGCGTGCGCACGCGGGGCGCTACGTGCCCACTGCCCGTTGCCCCCGGCCCTTTCCCCGTGAACGCAACTCAGGCATCGCGCTCCGTCAAAGCACTGCCGCTCCCCCGACAACAAGAGGAGCTCAACCGGCACGGCCGCCGCCAAGCGCGCGCGCGCCCCCGGATCGCCCGCCGTGCGCCGCGCCAGCCTGGACGCTGCCCAGGGCTTTGCGTGCCCATCGTTCAACGCGGCGCCCAAGCCCGAGGCGCTGCCCATGCCCACCTTCACCCTGATGCGGGCCAGCGCCCTCTCCCGCCGCTCGCCCTCGCCGCCCAAGTACACGGCGGTCACGGCCTGAGGCGCGCGCGCACGAGGCGCACTCGCCTGCATGGGCCGGCGGCGCGGCGCCTCTGTGGCTTCTGCCGCGCCACCTTCGTTCATGCGCACCCTGTACGTGCTCATGGCTGCGCATGGATGCCCACCGAAGGGCGAACGACCCCTGTGCTGGGCCCTGGCAGCACATTAGGGCGCTTTGGTCACACCACCAGGCTGTGCTCCCAACGCCCTCGCCGGCCCTCCCTGGCGCACAGCCCCCGCTCATAATTGACCCTGACATTTTATCGCGCCCATCGCCGCGCCGGCCAAAATGCGTGTGCGCTCTATCTCTTTTCGTTCCCCCGGCGCTAGAGCGCCAGCTGGACGGCAAGCAGGCATTGCGCTGGCGCAAACGCACGACGGGCTTTCGCGTTCGGCCCCTTCTCCGACCCGCACCTCTGCACTGTTGACCCCTTCTCCTGACCATCCCAGAAGAAGCTTGTCGCTGCTCACGACCAATGTGGCATTGGCCCGCGGAAACTCTGCTCTTTCGCCCGCCTCTCCCTGCTCTCCCGTTTCTCTTGCCGCGCCCCGAGGCAGCCTTGGGGCCATGACGCTCGCACAGAGCGCCCAGCTCTGTGCTTTTTTTGTCTGCCTACAAACTGTTTGCGATGCGGAGCGGGCTCTGCGTGCGAGCGGCGACGGGCCGCGCGCTCGGACGAAGCGCCAACATCTGCTCTCTTGTCGGTGACATTTCCACGATGATCCACGCATCCCTCCGCAGCGGGGTGCCTGCAGGCTTGCGTCCCATGCCCCTGTCCTCTCTGCGCCCGCTTGTTGCGGGCGCGAAACTTGCCAGAAAAACGGATGGCCGGGGTGCGTGGTGACGCACACGTGCGCGCCCGCCCTGCGAGGCCCCACCGTGGATTTCCTAAGGATGCACGCGTCTCTGTAGGCAGAGTCGCGTGCGGATTGTGAGCAATTTGGTGGGTAGGATGCAGGCCGCCTGCCCCATCAAGCGCCTGGCGCACGCCGGCGACCCTCGAGCGCAGGTTAGCGCGATTCCCGGCGTTGCTGCCGCCTCCCAAAGCGCGTGCCCCCCTCCTGACTGGCGGGCGGCCGTGTGGCACCCATGTGCGGCGCGCCTGCGGCCGGGCCTGCGGCGCCCTTCCCGCGCCGCCGCCCAGGCACGCGGGCTGCCGGCACTGACAACCACTTTGACCCGATAGCGTCTAGGCAGGCATCCCTTGCTGCGCGGCGCCGACTGCGCCAGGCTCCCCCTGTACCGCGCGCACCGCGCCGAACGCCTCTGTGTGGTCGTAATGGGTCCAGTTTGCACACCAGCGCACATGCACACAACTTATCTGGTCCAGGCCCATCCCGGCACTGCACACAACCCACCACCCACCCAGCCAAAGCAGCAGCAGCTGCTTGCAGCCACATGTAGGCGGCGCCCCCCCTCCTCGTGGCGCCCCACCTGCCTGGCAATCAGCACGTGGGCCTGCCTGTGCGCGCGCCCCGCTTGTGAGGCCTCTTGGCGCGTCGTGCTGGCGCAGCGTTTTCGCGCGCCAGCGCGTGCTCCCCCTCCGGGCTTCTCCCAAGATGCCAGCTTCAATCTTCACCCCCCCCTTAGCACAGGCGCCCTATCATACCATTGACGCACCGTCCCCCTTCCCCCTTCCCCCTTCCCCCTCATACACAAGAGCGTCCTGAAATGCTGAATCGCGCCGCCCGATGCGGCGGGCTCCTTTTCATCATTGGCCGCCTCCCAGATTGCTTTACGTTTCGTCACCACAAATATGGTCCCAGCGTGATTGGCACACCCAAGGCACCCACACATGTGAGCTCGTATCACCCCGCCGAGTCTGTCTTTGGTCGCGCAGGGGCTGTGCCCCCACCCAGTCGTCTCTCCCATCATCCGCCGCTGTGGCGGCGCCTTTTTGGCTCGAGCCCACTGTTTTGTACGCCCTGTTGAAGGGCGGTGTGTGTGTGTGTGTGCGCTATGCACCCTTTCAGGGTGCACGCTGTCAATTGTACACCTGCCTGGTGGCAACGGCATGGCGGACTGCGCTGCAATCGCAGACCTCACGTCGCCTCTGTTGCTCCCACTGACGTTGCTTGGCATTCGATGGGATGTTTTGAGTTTTTGAGTCGGGTTGATGCGCACCATAAAAAACCATACCCCCTCTTTGTGAATGACAGGGCACATTATGAGGTTGGGATCGCACGGGTTTTGGGTCGAGGGTGCACCTTTCACACTCATTTGCTTGTGCTTTGTCCTCCAGGTTGGGCCTTGGGGTTTGGGGAGGCAGGGGGCGTGGGGCACCTCACGCCACATTATATCAAAAAAGCCAAAAAGAAAGGGAGTTTGGTTCTGTCTGGAGATGTTGTGAGGCGTACTCGAAGGGAGTTATGCGATGAGGTTGGCTTGAAGTGAGGCGAGGCTGGGTTTGGCAAGGCAAATTTGCGCGAGATGCGCTGCGCGCGTTGTGTGGATCCCAGGATTTATGTGTGCAATTTACCAGGAAGGAGCACACGGCAACATCACCGCCAGGACAAACTCTGTAATCGTGATCCGCATATTGCCGCTGGTGGCGTGTTTGTGGGGCGGTGCGGTGGATACAGAAAGATGGGACCCAGTTGCCAACAGAATGAAGTGTATGCAGTGGTGAGCACAAGTCAAGCGAGCCCTCAACAGCCCTGCCTGACCTGATGCTAGCGAGGCGGTCAAGGCTGCCCTGGAAACTAGGCCTGACACACACAAGGGCAAACCGCTGCTGCTGCCCTTGTGAGTTGCCCCCATCCGAGGCCACCCCCAAGCCTGTGTGCTAGGTATGGCGCGCCCTGCTTGCTGGCACGCACAGCGCTTCACACCAATTGCTGCAGGAGGCGTGCGTACTGTAGTGGGCCCCCTTCACTGCCTCACACACAGCCCGCTCTCAGTTCCGCGACCCTGGACTGCTCCACAAATTGCGAGGCCTTGGGGAAAGGCTGCACACGGGTCGGTCCGTTGTGTCCTTTCTGTCATTCTATTCTATCCCCGGCAAATGCCTGGCACTGCAACCCCACTTGTCTGATGCTGCGACCTGCGTGCCCCTGCTGCCTGCTGCTCCCCTGTTATTGAACAAGCTGACGGGCGCCGCCGCAGCAAGCTCAACAGCGCCCACTGTGCCCGCGCTTGCTGCCTGTGCTTTCACCTCGTATCGTTCATGATCTGCAATCCGTCATGATGCCAACATGCAGGAGGCCGCGTGCTGGCGCGCACGTGGCACAGTCGTACCACTGTGCCTCCAGCAGCATACCAGGAACCGCCCGCGGTACGCTAGCCGCGCCGGGGCCCTTCCACTTGTCAGGTGCAGCGGCGCCGCGGGGCAGTCGGGATTATGGTGGGGGTTACACGGGAAGACCCCCTGGGGTGGAAGCCCAGCGGCCTCGACCGAGAAACTTCCGAGCAGATTCCAAGGCTTCCCACAGTCCACAGCACGTGCGGAGGGGAGGCCTCCGCCCTGGCCCCCGCCCAGCCCCGCCGCCAAGCAAGGGCTCCCCGAAGCAGTTTGTAGCCACAAGGCAGGATGCGGTTATTGTTAATATTCGTCCTAGCTCGGCGCCCCCAGGTACGCGGCGAGCCTGAGCAGGTCGGAGAAGATGCCGCCCGCGGTGACGTCGGCGCCCGCGCCCGGCCCCCGCACGATCAGCGGCTGCCGCTCGTAGCGCTGCGTGGTGAAGGCGATGATGTTGTCGCTGCCCTGCAGCTGGGCAAAGGGGTGGCTGGCGGGGTAGCGCCGCAGCTCCACCGAGCCCTTCTTGCCCTGGGGGGCGCGCCAGGGGGAGGGGGGCGCGGGTGCCAGCGCGGAGGCCGCAGGGTGTAAGTACAGAGCGACGCTGGCAAGCGGCGACCGCACCACCACCGCCATCAGCGCGCCCACCCCCGCCCTCCAAAAGCACCGCCTCCACCACAGCCCTGCCGCGCCAGCTCAGCGCCAGCTCAGCGCCGGCCCAGCGCCAGCTCAGCGCCGGCCCAGCGCCAGCTCAGCGTCGGCTCACCGCGAGGTCGACCACCCCCACGTAGCGCAGCACCTCCCCGCCGGCCTCGGCCTCTTTCAAGCGGCCCGCCATGTCAGCATCAAACTCCGGCAGCCGCTGCATGTACTCGTCGCCGCTGGGCACCTCGCGCAGGGGGGCTGGGACCTGGAGGTGATGTTTGTTGAGGGGATTGGTGGGGCATTTGTTGGTTTGAGGGGTTGGGATTGCAAGGCGGAGGGTTGCCCTTGCAGAGGCAGGCGGCACATGAGACGTGGGGGTGGGCGATGGCGTGCGCGCATCCCTGGGCCGACGTGCATGAACCCACATGCGACCCGTAAGCAGAAGCGGAGGCTTGCCCGCGCACGCGCACGCGCGCGCCAGCCCCGACTCACGTTGGCAACAAAATTGCATGAGCCCACCCAGCCAGATGCGCACGCAACTGCGCTCAAACAGGACCTCCCGCGCCCCTCGTGCCCCCCCCACCCCCACCCAGTTCCCTGC